TACACTATGTTACTCTGTTTGTGTCGGGGGACCCAATCCTTGGGGTGGACCAATTTTTGGCGCAGCGTGTTTTGGGGTTTCTTGTATGAGAAAACAATAGCAAACTATGAAAGTGAAATTTAAATTCAGGCCAGAGGAAACAGACCAAATATGGAGGTCAGTGCCGAGAGAAGCCATGATTGGGACTGTGGGAAAACTGCAACAGAAGAGGAAACAATTACTTAACTGTGGGAGAATCTAGAGAGATGAACTGACAGAGAGTGTTATCCAGCATGCAGGGCAGGCAGGAGGACAGGCAGGTATGCTCCTTCCTCCGGCCTGGCATACAGTCTCAGAGTGGTGGACTTGGGGTGACGACAAAGCATCTCCTTGGTAAATTCTGCATTGTGACTTGTGCTATAGGCTTGAAGTTGGCCAGTGTTGTTCACCATATCCCTGTTGATCTTATATAGTTTTAGGCATTCCAGGATCCATGCGTGAGGCATTGAATCATGGGCTTTCTTGTAGTCAATCCAGGTGGTGCACGGGTTTTTCAGTTGGTCTTACAGTCTCAAGTGAGTGATCTTTTTACCTGTAGCTGGTATTTTGCCCCTCTGGTGTTTTTGCCTTTTCCTTATCTACCCCACTCATGTATTGATCCATGTACAGGCGTGACAGCATCGTCCATGTGGTACTGAGGGAGGTTATTGGTTGATAGTTGGATGGGATAGGTCCCTTCTGTGGAATCCTTGGGGATCAGGTCCATTTGGCCTTCAGTTAGCTGTTCTGGGTGTGTCTCATTCATTAGCATCTGGTTAATGAACATTTAATGAAACATTTTTCATTAATTACATTTAATATCTCACTTCAGCTGTCTCTTGCGAGCTCAACATGCAAGTTGTGTAAGGAGAAAAAAGGAGAAATAACAACTCTAAACAACAGCAGCATGGCGCATAATGACTGACTTTGAACAAAAATAGCGTTCATCATTTAATTTACATTGTACATATCACTGACTTGTTGTCAATCATTACTTCACAGATAAAATTCAAAAATTAAGGAAAAATTAGTGCTTGGATGAATTTGTTTTTAAAATTTTTTTTTTTTTTTTTACAAAGATAAGATAGATGTTCAAGTTGAAGTTGATATTCACATACACATGAAGAATGAGTCCCAGCCTCTTCAAAACAATGAGAAATAGTAGGACCTGTACCCATGGCGGATATGAAGGCTTACACAATAGAACCTGAGCCTTTGTTCACTCTGTAAAGAATACACAAAGCACATACGTGAAAAAAAGAGGGAGGATTCATGAGGAGCATGTATTCTTGCTTTTTTTTTTTTTTTTTACTAAAGGGCAGCTACACTAATGCTTTCTCATGAAACACTGTCACCTGGTGGTGAAATGTTTTGTTCAGTTTTGTACAGTGACTGTAACTATTTCCTTTAAGGCAGGGGTGTCAAACTCAAATACACAGTGGGCCAAAATTCAAAACTGGAACAAAGTCGCGGGCTAACATTAATATTTATTGAAAAAAAAAATCTTCCTCCAGATATAAGAATGAATCTTTTCTTATGGACTCAAACAAGTTTTGCTGAAAAACTGAATATGGAACAAGCAAAGCTTAATACTAAACAATATATATATTAGCTGTATAATACCAGTAGGCCAGCTCTAATAGTAATTTGGTATGGCTTCGCGGGCCAAATGTAATTAGGCTGCGGGCCAAATTTGGCCCGCGGGCCAGAGTTTGACACCTATGCTTTAAGGTATACTGACAGACAAAGACTAACAAAATCCAACGATAAATGAGAAGTGGAAATCAGGTTGGCAGAAGCATGAGAGCCTAGAGCAGGGGTGGGCAACTCCAGGCCTCGAGGGCCTTTAGATCTCACCCTGGGTCAACACACCTGAATCAAATGATTAGTTCATTATCAGGCCTATTATATTATATTATATTATATTATATTATAAATAGAATTAATCAAAAACTAAGCAATCTGTGACATGACATGACATGGCAAAGACATAGTAAAAATAAATAAAATAAACAAATGCATTAAACTAGTAACACTGTCATAAACAGAAGTAGGCAATGATCTCTTGTGAGATTGAGAGAAAAGAATGCTGTGGCAAGTTA